TGGACTCAGACGGCAGGGGAGAGGCCGGCAGGCTGGAAGATCCACACGGGGCCCAGAGGACCCATCCCCAGTGTGGGCACCGTGTGCCAATGGAGGCAGGAAGCATCCAGGGCAGGCCTGCTGGACAAGCCCTCACCCAAGCCAAGAACAGAAGTCAGGGGGTCTGCAGGGAATTGGCTGAGAAGTCCTGGAAATGGTCCCAAATGGGCAGCACCAGAGAGTCACCCAAGGGAGGGAAACCTCAACCTCAGACGGCCAGACCTTGTGCCACGTTGGGGTCTACCCAACAGCCGTGTCTCAGGTGCTTGCGAGCCTGGCCGGGTCTCACTCCCCATCCCAGCCCCGTGGGCCCCCTGCTGACCCATGCCCTTTGCTGGGGATGCCCTTCTTCCCTGCCTGTCTCCAGCAAGTCCACCCCCTGCCCTCAGCACCCTGGCCTGCTCCCGCCAGCCACAGCCCTTTACCTGCCAGGCTCTGAGGGGGACCTGCTGGGTGGCCATCCCCTGGATGAGAGCAGAAAGCTGGTCCCGGGGCAGCTGGCTGGCTGGCTGGCAGCAGAAGTCATGCAGGAGGGAGGTGTTGGCACTGGGCAGACAGGGGACAGGCGGTGAGGAGCAGCATTGAGGTCAGCACCCCCAACACCGAGGGAGTGAGACACATACGAGACTGCGGCTTCACTCAGCACTCACTCACTCCTGTCGGCACACAGTGGGCGCCAGGCTCCAAGCTGTGAGCAGGGCTTGGATGTGGCCCTGGCCTGAACTCTGGGTCTGTGCCTCCTCCTGAGGCCTCGTCCCAGCGGGCTCTGGGCTCGGGCAGGCTCCACTGTCCCAGTGACGGCTGAGGGTGTGGACGAGATGTGGCCTGAGCGCCAGCCGGGTCACCGCAGCCGGACTGGCTTCTGGCTGAGTGCTCCTCACGGTGCGTGCTATCTAATAAAATCTGTGCGTGGGGAGGGCGTCTTGTGGGACTTCAGCCCCCGCCTCTAACCCTACCTAATCAGTACTCTGATCAATTGACTGATGGCTCGTCAGTGATCTCTAACCCTCCAGGGAAGGGAAGGGTGGCTGAGCCCACAGACGAGACCTCGGGCCAGTGCTTGGGAATGACTGAGTCTCTGGGACCTGGGAGAGCAGCCCAGTCTTGGGGCAGAAAAAGAAATCCAAGAGGACTCAGGACAAGAAGTAATCGCCCGGCAGGCCAGGAGAGCAGTGCAAGCCATGAAGGGTTCGGGGCCCCAGGCAGCTGCGACGGCCTGGGGGACCCAGTCCTGACCACGTGGCTGTGAGTCTGATGCAAGACACTGGATGCTCTGGGCCATCTCGGGGCAAAGTCGATGAGTGATGGGAGCCCTGCCTCAGCTTTCCTGGGCCATCGAGTGCAGAACCTGGAGATGTAGCCACCCCCCCCGCCCCGGGCCTGCCAGAGGATCAGCTGCAGAAACGTGACCTGGCACTCACCTGGCCCACAGGTCAGCCCTGCTGGCATCCAGCCCTCTCTGGGAGAAGCCCTGGGCCTGGGGACAAGAGCAGTGGGCAGTGAGCCACATGAGGAGGGCGAGGCCTGGGCTCATCTGGGCACCTGGAACAGAACAGGCTGTGAGCCGCTGTGGGCCCCCAGCACACCGGGGTGCTGCCTGCTGGGGGCATCCCTCAGGGTCTGCCCAGGGCTCCCTGTGTCCTAGGGTAGGCCTAGGACCACAGATGGTCTTGCCACCTCAGGGGAGCCTGGCTGTGGGAACCACCCCCGGAGGGCCCAAAGTGCCCTTTTGTGAGGGCTGTCTCACCTGCTCTGGGGCCCATGGCTGGCTTGTCCTGGCAGAAAGGTGTGGGGTCACAGGCGGTGGGTCCAGGACAAGCTGCAGAGGAGACAGGAGGTGGTGAGGCCCACCCCATCACCTTCCCTGCCCTCTTTGGCACGGGGCACAAAGAGGGAGGTGCCATCCAGGGTCATGTAGGATGGGCTCCCTGCAACTGAGTCTCTCTGTCTTTGGGGAGGGGCACAAACCCTACAAACAGTGCCTCTCGGGAACTAAGGGAGTGGCAAGAGGAGGGGCCGGGCCAAACCCCCGGGACCTTTCTTATCGCAGGTGGGGGCTCCTGAGACCTGGAGGCTTCGGTGTCTCCAATAAACAGATCTCTCAACAGCTACAGGGGAGGGGCGGTGGTCCCAGGAAGTCCCTGCAGGCAGCTGTGGGTAGAGGCCTGGGGGCTCTCCAACCTCTCCCCCATTCCTGGGCAGACTAGAAAGCCCTCTTCCCTCGCAGGGCCTCAGACGCCCAGCCAGACCTGGCCTCCGGCCACAGCCCACACCACAGCCCCACAGGTTGCCCTGCCCAGTCTCCAGATGGAGGCCTTAACTGTGAGAAGAAGGTGTCGGGGTGCCTGTGGGCTCTAGACCCTGCATGGTCCAGGGTGTTACTGTCCCATGCGGGGGACAGAGTGGAAGCCAGACGAGCCCAGCTACCCACCCAGGGCCACACCGAGACTGCCTCCTAGCTGGGCCTGGTGGGTGCAGGTGGCAGTGGCCCTGCCCCAGTCCCCACTTCTCACCTGAGCATGGAGACCATCTGCTGTAGAGGGAAGTTGCTCCTGCACCCCGCGGTGACCGTCCGATGTGTGTGTTGGGGTGTAGGCCTGGTGCCAGGTGCTGCAGTCCCCTGCAGTCCGCTGCCAGTGACCCCAGTCTGCTGAGTGTGTCAGCCCCTGCAGCTGAGCACTGGGGCTCCGCAGTGGTGCAGGGTGGGGGCACCTGGGTTCCTGCTCACCTCCATGCTTCACCCAACACCCTGCCTGCCTGGCCACCCCACTCCTGCAGTGATGCCGGCCAGGCAGATGTGGAGGGGAGGGACCGGGGCTGTGTCAGGTGAGGCTGCCATGCCCACGCCTGGGGGCCTCGAGCAGAGCAGACACCTGCTCTCCAGCCCTGGGGGAGTGGGAGGCTGAGCTCAGGGTTGGCAGCCACCCAGCACACACTCCTTCCCCCTCGGGGATGTGTCTGTGCCCCGAGGATCGGATGTGCCTTCGTATGTGTGCATGTTTGCATTTGTCGTGCGTGCTGGTGTTTTTGTGCACATGCCTGTGTGTCTGGAAGCAAACACAACTACGTGCAGGTCTGATGCATGTGTTCCCTGCAGGGACGCAGGACACAGGCAGATCCAATGTGGTGGCGGTTTCTACCCTGTGAGCGCCTGCGTCCATACACGTATGTGTATGGGGGTAAGGGGGGGTGCAGGCACCAGGTAGGTGACCCCAATGGCAAAGAGCTGTGCCGCACATGCCCTGCGGGCCCAGGACGGGGCAGTTCCATAAGCCCGGGCCTCTGGGGCTGAGTGGGAGGTGCCCCAGCGAGGGTGGGTGGGGCCAGGTGCCCAGGGCTGAGTCCTGGTTCTCCTCATCCCCTGGGAGGTGTGCAACTCCCACCTGGCAGGGCCAGGAGGGCACCGGGCCTTGAACTCCTGGATGCTGGTTTAGCCACCGGCACCACAAGTAGGGCTGCACATGCCCAAAGGGCCTGCTGCACGGCGAAGAGGACATACTGACCCTAGAAGGCCAACAGCTGGAGGGACCAGCTGGGGACTGCCGCCCAGCCCTAGACCGACTCATGGAAGTTCAGCCTCATCATGTAGAGCTGGATGTGCTCCTGGCCTCCCAGTACCACTGGGGGTGCTGCCACACCAGCACACACGCCCCCAGGAGCTTGCCTGCCACGGGCCTGCCCCGCACATCACGCCCCCCTGCAGCATTTGTCTGGCCACTCCTGCCTGAAGAAACTCTCCATGCCATCCATGTCCAGGAGACCCTGCTCGACTCCCATGCCTTCTAAACCTTGCCCACCACAGCTAGGGTGTGCGCCCCAGTGTCTGGGCTCCATAGCCTCAGCTTTGAGGCCCCCCAAGGGCGGTGGGAGACAACCAATCTGCAGGAAGCAAGGTCTGGATCTGGCCTGCAGGTGGCTCTCTGGGTCCTGGGGGACTCAAGGGGCCAAGGAGACCTTTCAGGGGGAGCAGCAGGGCTGTGGGAGGAGCAACATACATTCCCCAGAGTGGGGCCTACCCCTGTGCACCTTCCCGTCCTGCCTCCCTACCTTGGGGGCTATCAGTCTGTCTGTCCAGCCCTCCAACTTCTCTGCTGTTTGCTCTGTAGGCCCAGCCTGTGGGCCCCACCAGGCCAGAGTCCAGACCAGTGTCCTCCAGCTGGCCACACCTGCCCTCTGCTGTCCCCCAGGGCCCACCCCAGCCAGGAGTACCTACCCTGCAAGGTAGCTGGTGTTCTGATGGTGGAGGACCCCAAGGAGGACGTAGGGACAACGGCTCTAGGGAGGGATCCCGGTGAGAACAGATAGGCTGTTCTTTTGGCTAGCTTTTGGCTAGCTGAACTAGGGATGTCTAGGAACGGGGCTAACCCAATTTCAGTCCTCCACTTGGAGCCCAGCCTCCATCCACACTAGGCTGCAGGGTGCTCACTGCATGGCAGGGGAAGGGTCCATCCTGGCTCCTGCTCAGGGGCCTAGGGCAGAGATCTGTCCAGTGTAGGGAAAAGGGCAGGGGTCTGGGGCCTCCCAAACCTCCCCATTGGATGGATTCATAGTCACACATGAGATCAGTCAATGAGTATTTATTCTGAGGCCCCGAAACTCAGCTACAACTAGGCCGATGTGAGTATGTCATCGGGATGGAAGAGATAGAGGCTGGCCACTCTTGCTCCCCAACTGAAGCGTGAGGACCTGTGGTGACCTAGGCACTGTGAGAGAACCGAGGGACGTGGCTCGGACCCTCCCCCATGTGCCATGTGCGTGGGGAGGAGGAGGCCCACGAGCAGAATCTGGTAAAAGCAAAGGCACGAGGCAGCATTGGGTGGGTGGGATGAGCCAGGGCCCACAGGCGGAGAAGACCCAGCCAGGATAGGCTGACCAACACAGAAGGTCCAAGAAAAGCAATGAGGAGCAGGGCGCTCTGAGGTCTGGGGGCCCTGCAGGAGCCTAACTCAAGGCTGGCCCACTGTGGGCTCTGTCTCTTAGAGAGTGACCCTGGGCAAATCCATAAAACAAGCCCCTAGGAGTGAAGCTTTGGAGCCAGGAAGGCAAGCCTTGGTTTCCCCTCTCTGGGGAATGGGGTGCTCGGAGGGAGGTCCCATCCTCCAAACTCCCCGGCAGCCTGGCTCTCCCTGCTGGCCCTGCCCACCCCTCTCCAGGCCTGGCTGCTGGAGCCAGGGCCTCAGGCGCCATCCACAGTGGGGCCGCGCACAGGGCACCCTGACTCAGGGTGGGCCCAGGGCTGTCCTCTGCAGCCCCTATCCCCCTAGTGGGCCCAGCCTGCCACTCCCATCCAGCCTGCTGCCCTCAATTGTCAGGCTCTAGGGTCCATTCTGACAGCCACTGCAGGCATGACGCCCGCTGTGCCTCTGTCTCGGGGGGCTTGTTGGAGGGCGTGGAAGTGCTGCAAGGCCCAGGGCTCCCTTCTGTGGGATCAGGGTCTGGAGCAGCCCTCAGGACCTGGACGAGCTGGTCCAGTGACTGCACCAGAGTGTGGGGGCTCCAGCAGGCATCGAGCGCCGGCACGAAGGGATCTGGTGTGCAGGCCTCCACACGTTCAGTATGAGTCGGGATACGCAGATAGAAGGCGTGCAGCATCATGCGGAAGGGCTGGTCTTCTTGGTCCAATGCCTGCCCGTAGGTCAGGTCCCCCACGACGGGATGGCTGAGAGCACTGCAGTGCACACGCAGCTGGTGCGTCCGGCCTGGGGGAGGGGGGCAAGAGAACTGGTAGGGTTGGGGTGCCATTCCATGCCCACCCCTCACCCACTCACATCATCCCTAGCCCCAGCCCGTTACCCTCTTCAAGCCCCCAAAACTCCGAGAGGAGGCAGACCTGTTTCCCATTACAGACAAGAAGGCCGAAGCTTAGAAGAGGGATCAACCTTGAGATCACTGCCAGTACGGGCAGGGCCAGGTGCGCTACAGCACCCCTGCTGGCCTTCCAGGATAGCAAGGCCTGGGGCGGGAATAGCAGCGGGGCCCCAGGCAGGCCGCTCTGCCCCGTGCCACCACATCTTCTGCTGTGGGACAGACACACCTCAGTGAACATGGCGGGGGGGGGGCACCACTGGTAGACAACAAGCGGGCCTGGAAAGTTTCCTGCCTCGACCTTGGACGCACCTGTGAGGGGCTGCAGCAGCACTTTGGAGACAGGATCACCGGCATACAGCCCGTACTCCAGGACCACCAGCTCTGTAAGGCTTGGTTTGGGGTTCTCACAGCCTGTGGAGAGCAAGACGAGGTGTGAGGATTGGCTGGACCCGCGCAGAGCCCAACCCACCCCAGCCCAGCTCACTCAGGGCCTCTACTGGGTGATGAGTCCTGCCCTCCGTACCCTGAGTGCCCTCGATGCACATGGTGTGAGCCCGACCCTCAGTGCTGTTCCTGCCGATGGCGTAGTTGATGGTCATCCGGCTCTCCTGCACGTGTCCCCGCACCTGCTGGGCACAGACTCACAAGCTGCTCTCAGGACCACCCACCCCTTCTGGGGAACCCACCTGGCACTGACAGCCTGTGGAATCGGCTGAGGGTTGGAATCCCCTGCCCAGGGGGATGGTCAGGCCTTACCAGAGCCAGATAGGCCTTGGTTACACGCCGCTCCTTGAAGCACTTGTAAGCGCTGCCCGCTGCCGCCTTGTTCAAGGCCACACAGAGCGCCCCGCTGGTGGAGAAGTCCAACTGGTGGCAGAACCTGACACGGGGCCGGGGGGTCAGGGCTGGCCAGACTGGGGAGTGGCTACTTCTTCCCACAGAAGCTGCTGGGGGCCATGGGCCGGCCTCCACCTACCTGAACCCATAGAAGGTGTCAGGATCTGCTAACTCCGGGAAGTGGTGACGCAGCTGCTTCTGGAGGGTCGGAGTCTCGCGCCACATCCTGCTGTCGATCCGCAGGTCCCAGTGCTTGTTCACCACCAGGAAGTCCTGGCTCTGGTACACCACGGACAGGTTCTCTATTCGGTCTGGTTCCATGGTGGAGACCTGCAAGTGGGGGCTCACGGGGAGTCCAGCACTGGACTCATCAGGGTCCCCGGGATCCCCAGAGTCGCGGGTGGAAAGCCGCTGACGCGGTGTCAGCCGAGCACACGGCCCCAGTGTGTGTGCACTCGCTAGGTCCCTTTCCACGCCCACCTCTGAGCTCCGACTGTAGGGCTGCCCAACCCAGACGCAGATCCTGGGGGAAGCAGTCCTGCACCCCGGCCCACCCCCGTGGACCCTCCTGGGACAGTGCACCAACATGCCACGGAAGCCTCTTCCTGAGCTGGGAAGGGCCAGGAGAGGGGCTGCCGCGCCCCCCACAGCCCGGGGGGGCCCGGTCAGCCGAGTGAGGGGGCCCCCTACGTCTCCCTCCCCCTCCGCGCAGACACCCCCTCCCCGGCAGGCCCCGCCCCCCCGTCTGATGGGCACAGGCCGCCTACCAGCGCCTCCCGCGGCCCCGCCCACTCCGGGACCGACCTGTAGCCCGGCGACGCTGCCGGGCCCTGGCTCCAGCACCCCGTCCCCGCGCCTGGCGACCCAGCAACCCCGGAGCCGAGCGCGCAGCCCCGCCTCACGCCCCGCCCACGCCACGGCCGGGCGGCCGTGCGGGCCAATGGTGAGCGTCCTGGGGCGCCGCACTGGCTCGGCCCCGCTCCGTCTGCGCGCGCAGTCCCGCCCCCGCCGCGCTCTTCCCGTTGGCCAATGGAGAGAGCCGCCGGGCACGCCGGCCAGGGATTGGCGGCGCCGGGACGCTGGGGGCGGGCGCGGCGCGCTGCGGCGGCGCGGGAGGTTCGGAACGGGCGGCTGGTCCGGTGGGAGCGGGAGCTATGGGAGACCCGGAGCTCGAGCTGGGCGGTGCCCAGGACGACTTCCACAGCCAGTTCGCGGACGAGCTGGAGGTGCTGGCGGAGCTGGAAGGTGGGCGCGGGCCCCGCCGCAGCCTCGTCCCCTGTAGTCCGGGAGGGCTGCCTGGAGGAGGGGAGGCGAGCGGGGGCCGCGAGGCTGGAGCGAGAAGGGTCCTCCGGCGCTGCCGGCCGCGGGAGCTCCTACCTGTATGTGGGGACGCGCCGACCTAGCCTAGCTGCTGTCATCTTTTCCTCCTGGCAGGGACGGCGGCCCTGTCACCCTCCCGGGACCCCTGGCCCACGGTGGGCCGGTCCCGGCTGACGTCCGAGGAGACCGTTGCTGGAGGCGACGCTACCACTCATTGCTCTCCAGGTGGACGTCCAGGGAACCGCAAAGGCAGTGCGAGGAAGAGGCAGCTGGCCGACCACGTCTCGAGGGACACGGCCTTGCCCCCCAGTATGTCCGCAGGGGCCCAGGGCCCAGGGCTGGGGTGTGAGGCTGGGGAAGAGCCTCTGTTCCTTCCGTCTCCCTCCCCAGCCCCCAGGGTCAAACGGCCTAGGCTGGAAGTCGTCAAGAAGCTGAACTTCAGGCCCGAGGAGATGGAAGAGCCGCCCCTTCCTGACTCCCCTGCCCGGGGCATCACCCCCCCACTGAGTCCCGAGGTCCCCACTGAGCTGTGGGGCAAGGGGTGTGTGGCTGGGGGCACAGGCGTCCCAGGGATTGTGGAAGGGTCCCGGGTTTCTGGAGGCCTGGGGCTGGGGGTGGGTGGGAGGGAGGTATAGTTTAGTGGACTTGGGTTCCTCTGATGGTAACAGGAGGGGTGAGTCCCCAAGACAGTCCCTGTCCCTTCCCAGGCCCTTGGATGCTGGTGCCGATGTGGGTCTCCTGCAGGCCTCGCCAGCAGCCCGAAATCCTGTCCTGAGGCGGCCCCCTATCCTGGAGGACTATGTCAGTGTGACCTCCACAGGTGGCTGCCGGGCTTTTCTGGTCCTGCGGGCTGACCCAGTGGGCACAGGGGTGCAGGTGGGTGCTGTGTGGCCACAGGGCTGGGGGGCTCAGTGCTGCCCAGGAGAGTCCTAGACCTCATGTCCCCACCGGGACCCTGGGGACCCCTCAGGAAGGTCACCTGGCTTGTTTCCCTTTTCCTTTCCCGTTCATTTCTTTTCTTTTGTTTTTTGTTTTTTTTTCTTTTTCTTAGAGTTGTTTTCGTCTTGGTTTTTTTTTTTTTTTTGGAAGTGTCATATAGAAAGGAAGCTTGTCCTGTTGTTGGTCTGTTCATGCAGAAATAATGCTACTTGGGTCCCTGAATACTGTTGGGAGGGGATCCGTGGGTGGTTATGTCTTGCAACGGGATGAATGCTGCCCTCACTTTCCTACAGACCCCTTTCATTGATACCTGGCGGCGAGGCCACGGCCAGCTGGATCTGTTGGGTGTGTCCTTCGCCTCCCTGAAGGAGCAGGTCGACAGTGAGGTGGGGCTTGCTGGGAAGAGAAGAGTGGCTCTTGGGGGCGGGGGGGACTGCACGTTGGAGCCATCCAGATCCCAATCTCTAGTGTTTGCACAGCGGAGGCAGCAGCTGCTCGAGGAGGCCCATCGGCTCTCAGACACACTTCGCAGGTGACACGGTGGGCCCTCCCACCCCTGACCTCCAGCCTGTAGTCGGGGGGTGTGCAGTCTTTCCAAAGGCACGATGTTCTCTAGCCTCAGGTCGGAGGAGGTCCAGCCTTTGGCAGCTCCTGAGGAAGAGATGGCCAGCAACCAAGATGACTGCCAGCACTGTCTCTGGGTGGATGAGTTCGCACCTCGGTCCTACACGGAGCTGCTCAGTGATGACGTGAGACCTTATTATTGTTTAAGCGTGACTTGCCCTTTTGTTGCCAAAAGCGAAAGCTGCAGGATTCAGCTAGTTCTTATGTTGCCAGGTCACAGGGCATTGGAATGGAAGAGATGGTTTTTTGGTGTTTTTAAGATTTTATTTACTTTTTTGAGAGAGTGAGAGAGCAGGGGGAGGGGCAGAGGGAGGGAGAGGGGGAAGCAAACTCCCCGCTGAGCAGGCAGCCAGGATGAAGCCTGATCCCAGGACCCTGGGATCATGACCTGAGCCAAATGCAGCCGCTTAACCACCTGAGCCACCCAGGAACCCCAGAAGAGATGGTTTTGATTTGGATATTTGAATTATAGATGGGGACACTGAGGCCAGCATGGGATTGGCATGCTCTAGGTCACTTGTGATCTGGGCTGGGAATCCAATCCCCCTATTCCCTCGGAGCTTCTGTTTCCTTTCTCACTTATAGAAGCTCATGCTGGGATGCCCCTGGGGATGGTGGGGGCTCCTGAAGGGGTCAGGGTAGTAGGAATGGGGTCTTTGAAGTAAGCCTCATTTTGTCACTCACTGGCAGGGTGACCAAACACTGGTCAGTTGCCACTCAGCTTCAGCCTCCTTGTGTGTTTTCTAGGGCTTAACGACAGCAGGCTGACACGAAGGGTGGGCACAGGGGGTCCTCGGTGCTGGCCGTTCCTCTAGACCACGCTTCCTTTGTTACAGTTCACTAACCGCTGCCTCCTCAAGTGGCTAAAGCTGTGGGACCTGGTGGTGTTTGGCCGAGAGAGGCCTGCTAGGAAGCCAAGACCCAGTGTGGAGCTGGCCCGGGGTGGCAAGGAGGCCCCAAGCTCCAGCAAATGGAAAAGCCATGAGCAGGTGCTGGAGGACATGCTAGAGGCTGAGCTGGACCCGAGCCGGCGTCCCCGGCAGAAGGTAAGCCCCACCTGGCTGTGCCACACACGTCTGAGCCCGGGGGCTGTGCTCTCTGGGCAGCCGGCGCCTTCACAGCCTCTCAGGGCTCTGAGGTGCATTTAGCGCTCCCACGTCTGGGGCGTTAAAACGCCAGTGTGCTAGAGTCGTAACAGGCCATAGCATGTATGCGTCTTTGTTGTTTTGGCTGCAGGTGGCGCTGCTGTGTGGGCCTCCAGGGCTTGGCAAGACCACCCTGGCTCACGTGATTGCACGGCATGCTGGGTACTGCGTGGTGGAGATGAACGCAAGGTGAGTGGCAGGGAGGCCAGCCTCCATCCTGACTCAGCCCTGAGACCCCAGTGGTTGGCAGTGGGGACAGTGGAGTGGAGTTCTTATTCTCTCGGGGCTTCCTGGGGTGGTAGCCTTGAGGTGTAGGCGTGGTGGCTCAGCCCCGGAGACTGTCCGATTAGGGACCTTGGCTGTTGCCTTGGCTGAGGCCACACTGCCCTGACGGCAACGCCCCTGACCTTATGGTTTCAGTGATGACCGCAGCCCTGAGGCCTTCCGCACGTGCATCGAGGCGGCCACGCAGATGGAGTCGGTGCTGGGTGCTGGCGGGAAGCCCAACTGTCTGGTCATCGATGAGATCGACGGGGCCCCCGTGGTGGGCCTCCTGGGTGCCCCAGTGGGTGGGCAGGTGGGTGGGCAACGGGCTAGGGCTTACTGTGTCCTTTTTGCATTCCCTAGGCTGCCATCAACGTTCTTTTGAACATCCTGGACCGCAAGGGCCCACAGGACGCAGAGTCAGGGGGTCAGGTTCCCACAAGTGGGGGACGGCGGCGCCGGGCCGAGGGGGGGCTCCTGATGAGGCCCATTATCTGCATCTGCAATGACCAGTGAGTGGGCTGGAGCAGGGCTTTGCACAGGGAGGGGTGTGGTGGGGGGCCTCCATGGGAGGGCAGGGGGCTTCTGGGGGGGTGTACCCCCAACCCTACTTGGCCGCTTCTGCCAGGTGGGCTGTGGCACACACCCTGATGTTCCTGGCTGGGCGGTGTGGTGTACCTATGCCTCTTCCCCTGCAGGTTTGTACCCTCTCTGAGGCAGTTGAGACAGCAGGCCTTCCTGCTCTACTTCCCACCCATACTGTCCTCGAGGCTTACACAGCGGCTGCAGGAGGTCAGTGAGGGCTGGGGCAGGGGACACATGACTAGGGGGCTGCGTGGCTGACTGCGGGGTGTGGGGATGTGTCCCCTGTCCTGGCCCCGTATCCCTCTCTCTTGCCATCCCCTCTCCCACCCAGGGCCCCATCCCCCAGCTGGCCTCAGGATGTGGGGGTGACTGGACCAGTTTGCTGATTGGCAGTAGATGGTTCGAAGCAGGGACCAAGGCTGGTCCGTGGGGATCTACAACTGTGTTCTAGGGAAGAGAGGGCCCCAGGGTGGGTTTCTGGGGGAGTGGCCACCCACCCTCCTGCCTCCCTGCAGATCTCCCTGCGGCAGGGCATGCAGGCCGACCCGGGCGCGCTGGCAGCTCTGTGTGAGAAGACAGACAACGATATCCGTGCCTGCATCAACACTCTACAGGTGGGCGGGTGCGCGGGGCTGTTGCTGGGGTGCAGCAGGGCTCAGCCGCCTCTCACCAGCCCCCGCCACTCTGTGTCCAGTTCCTTCATGGGCGGGGCCGGCGGGAGCTGAGTGTGCAGGCTGTGCAGGCCACACGAGTCGGCCTCAAGGACCAGCGCAAGGGGCTCTTCTCTGTGTGGCAGGAGGTGTTCCAGCTTCCCCGGGCCCAGAGGTAAGTGGGCAGGCCAGCCCCATCTCCTGTGACGGACTGAGCGCTGCACGGGGCCTGGGGGAGCATGGTCTGTGTACAGACACCTGGGCCACTTCGGGGAGCAAGGCATCATGGAGGGGGACGAAGAGGTGGGGCCCCATTCCAGCCTTGGCACCCCTCTGCAGGCAACGCTGGGGCCAGGACCCAGCCCTGGCCCCACACATGCTCCTGCTCCGTGATGGGCACCTGGGTCTGGGGCCCCGTGCTGCCGAGGCGCCTTTGACCACGGCTTCCCAGCGGTTCTACCACATCCTGCACGTGGCTTCCTCCGCAGGGGACCATGAGAAGGTGATCCAGGTAACCTCGTTTTGCCTTGAGTGTTTTCGGGGGTGCCGGTATGCTAGCATCTATCTGCGTCTCTGTCCCCGGAGAACCGGAGACGTTTCACACGGTGTCAAGCTCAAGGAGCAACAGGGTGGGAGTGAGGGGTGGTGGGCACGGTGCATCAGGGAGCTCTCTCAGAGGTGATGGGGAGCAGGGACAGAGGCCTGGGAGGAGGGACTAGCTGGTGCTGGGGGTATGGGGGGCTGGCGTGGGCTGGCAGGGAGGGGAGGCGGGCTGGGTGTGTGGTGGGGGAGTCATCTGACTCATGGGGTCAGTCCAGTTGCTGGTCGGGACACAGGTAACTGGGGCGGGAGGAGCTAGACAGCATGAGTCAGTGCCCGGGAGGGTCTCCACTCTGGACATAAACTGTGGGCACAGGGATGTGGTGTGGAGCAGGCAGGGTGAAGTTTTGGCTTGAGCAGGTGGCAGAGATGCCCCCCACCCCTGGGAAGCCTGGCCTAAGCTGTCTCCCTGACTAAGCAGCTTTGGATTAGTGGCTGTGGATCTGAGTAAATCTGGAACTCTCCACGGGGAGGGGTTGTGTGCGCCCCGAGGAAATGGGAGTCTCATGTGGAGTAAGAACGGGCTCTGTGCTCTCCGTTCTGGCCGCAGAGCTTCCTTTGGGGAGGGGGTGGGTACTGGAGCCTGTGGGCTCCTTGAGGCAGTTGTGGGTAGGGGGTTCTTTCCTGCACCTCTCAAAACAGTGGGGCGGCAGGCTGGGCCTTCCTGGCTCCTCCATTGGGGCCTCAGGGCCACTTGCTGGTGCTAGCAGCTCTCCCAGAGACCCTGGGCTTGGCAGGGCAGGTGGGAGGTGCTTGTATGTGGGCTGGGGGCTGAGGCTGGGGGGGTTCAGCGGAGGGGGACGAAGGTGAGGCCCCACCTCACCCCCAGGGCCTGTTTGACAACTTCCTGCGCTTGCGGCTACGGGATTCCAGCCTGGGGACCGTGTGTGTGGCCCTCGACTGGCTGGCCTTCGATGACCTGCTGAGCCGCGCTGCCCACCACGGCCAGACTTTCCAGTTGCTGCGCTACCTGCCCTTCTTGCCGGCAGCCTTCCACCTGCTCTTTGCGTCTGGCCACGTGCCGAGGATTGCTTTCCCCAGCAGCCAGCAGGAGGTGTGTCCCCTGCACCCTGCCCGGGCCTGGGATCTGGCCCAGGGAGCCTAGGTTTCCTAGGCCTGCTTCATTCTCCACCCCAGGCCCAGAACCGGACCAGCCGGACACAGAACCTCATCCAGACGCTGGTGGCGGGCATTGCACCTGCTACCCGCAGCCGAGCTGCACCTCAGGCTCTCGTCCTGGACGCCCTCTGCCTGATTCTGGACATCCTTGCGCCCAAGCTGCGCCCTGTGAGTGCCTCGTCCGGAGTGGGGGTGTCGCCACTGGTGGGGGCAGGGCCCGCCATGCTCAGCATCCCTGCCCACAGGTGAGCACGCAGCTGTACAGCACTCGTGAGAAGCAGCAGCTGGCCAGCCTCGTGGGCACCATGCTTGCCTACAGCCTCACCTACCGCCAAGAGCGCATGCCTGATGGGCAGTACGTCTACAGGCTAGAGCCGTGAGTCTGTGCAGCAGCTGGGGTGGGGTGCCAGGGACAGGAGGCTGGGCTCTGGGTGCTACGGCAGTGAGGCCAGGAATCTTGGCGAGGTGTGGTCTCCCTTTTGCCGTCTGTGGGGCAGTGATAAGGGGTCAGTTCTAGCTCAGCATTTGTGCAGATGTGATTGTGAGGTGGGGGGTCCCCCTTGCAGGGCATTATTGCAGAGGCCCTGCCTGCCTCAGTGTCCCCCAGGCACTGCTCCCAGAGGGTCCTTGAGCTCCCTAGGGCTCTGCTGCCCCATACTGAGATGTTCCCCGGGGCCCCACTGCCCAACAAGGGGACCAGTTCCCATCGCTGTCTGTGCCATTTGCAAGGAGGTGGTAATGGTGACAGTTCCCAATGCTCAGCCCCAGCCTTGAGCCTAGGCCCTGCCCTGTTGTCTCATTTTTTCATCTTGCAGCCCTGGGACGGTTCCCTTCTCATGCCCACAAGCACTTGGGGAAACTGAGGCTTGGGGTGGGTCATCCCCTGCTGCTATGGGCCCAGGCATTGTATTGGCAGGACTGAGCTCCACACCGCAGCCCCTGCTTCTTGGCGTTTGGGATGGGTGGGCAGGTAGTACCTGCCTGTGCTGCTGATGGCGCATCTCTTCACCCGCCCTGAGAGCAGGAACGTGGAGGAGGTCTGCCGCTTTCCTGAGCTGCCCGCCCGCAAACCCCTCACCTACCAGGCCAAGCAGCTCATTGCCCGCGAGATCGAAATGGAGAAGATGCGGCGGGCGGAGGCCTTGGCTCGGGTTGGGGACAGCCCCCAGGTAAGCCCACCCTGGGGGCCAGAGCCATGCCAGGGAGGGCAGGGCCGTCAGAAGGGACCTTGTCCCTGGAGTGGCCCTACCCAGTCAGCCCTCACCACACCTTCCGTCTGCAGGTGGACGGGGTTCCCCCAGGGGCCAAGGCTCCGCTGGGGGGTGCTGGGGAGAAAGGGGCACGGCCACCCACCTCACACAGCCACGAGGGGCAGCAGCTAGAGCAGCGGCTGGAGCGCATCCTGAAGAGAGCGGCCCTGGAGGAAAAGGTGTGAGGGGTGTGGCTGGTTCCCAGCCCTGGGGGGCTGTCACTTGCCTGCTGCTCAGCCTCAGGGGTTTCCCGTGGCCCCAGCTTCCCATCTGGGCGAGAGGGGGTTCTGCTGGTTGTGGCAGAAGGAAGCTGCCGTGTGGGTGATGAGGGACCGAAGGGACGTGTGCTGAGTGGGTCTGCTCCAGCGTGAAGCAGGCCTGGGAAGGGGAGGTGGGCATCTGCTCTCACAGCCTGGGGCCACTGGCTGCTCCCTGGGAGGGGGCCTCTGGCCCTCCCCCCAGGGCAGGGAGTGCCCACCACCGGTCTGTGCTGAGAGTCTGACCAACCTGCCCTCTTCAGCCTGAGAGGGACTTCTTTGGTCGTGTGGTCCTCAAGAGAGCGGCAGCCCTGAGTGCAGGTGTGTGGGGCGTGGGAGGCATGGGAGGGGCGGGAGGGGCCCGGGCGAGGCACAGGAACAACCATGTGACCTCCACAGGAGATGTGGCCCCGGAGATGGATGCGGCTGAGCGGCACATAGGCACGGCGGTGGGCAGGAGTGACGTCTGGTTTCGCTTCAAGGAGGGCGTCTCCAATGCTGTGCGGCGCAGCGTCTACATCAGGGACCTGCTGTAGCCAGGGTGTACCCAACACCGTGAGCCCACGCTGGATGCCCCAGGGCCCCACGCTTGATGCTGTCGTGTTGTGTTTTCTCCATCAGAAAATGTACAAAAGCACGGACGCTCTCAAAAAGTTTTTATAAAAGTCACACGTTTATGGAGTTGTCCTCCCTACAGAAGCAAGAGCCCGGGGGTGGGGCGGGGGGGGCCTCACAGGATGGCACACTTGCCCTTCTCCACCCATGGGTTGTTCTTCATTAGGTCGGGGTTCAGGAACGGGTCCTTGGGGATCCCATCCTCGATCCACTTGAGGAGCCTGTGGTTGGGCAGGGTGGGGGAGGGTGAGGTTGAGCAGGTGAGTGCCTGGCTTCTTAGAAGTGCTGCCCAGTGGCAAGGTGCAGGGCTGTGGCTCTGGCTTATGCAAACGAACACAGGGCAGGGAAATGAAATGCAGATTGGAGCCAACCTGGGGTGGGGTGGGGTCCTGGGGACTTACTCAGGGATGGTCTTAGACGACATCTCCCTCTTGAAGGCCAGCTGGTACTTGAGGCTCTCCACCTCTTTTTTCATCTGGGGCACATCCCACTCCTCCATGGCGTCGGGAGCTTCGGAAGTGGCCAGCCTGGGGCTGGAGGACACAGGAGGAAGCAACAGCCAGAGGGCTGCCAGCCTGCAGTCAACCCCCAGATGCTCCCTCCCCACCAGACTGATAGCCGGTCCACTGCTTGGGAGGTCCCCAGGGGCTGTACCACCCCTTTCCCGGGGGGTCCACAGAGGCACCCATGTAGTCCACAGGGTGCAGGGCCTGGAGCTGAGGCCCCACTAATGAAGCCCCGTGTGTCTGCCGCTCCCCCCATGGGGCTGATTAACTGCAGAGAAAACTTTTTACTCTGAGCTCTGTCTGCATCCTCACCTCCCACCCCCACCAGAGCCTTACCACGGCCTGGTCTCTTGGAGAGAGAAGGGGCAGTGTTTCAGCCATAGCAGGATCAGGCACACAGCACAGATGGGTTCCCAGAAGCCCACCCTCCCAACTGCGAGGCCCACTTCCCATTCCTGGTTGCAGAGGGGGCAATCCTCACATGAGGGATGGGGCTGTGCCTGGCCTCCTTCCCGTGCCTTCCCTCTGCTTTGCATGGGGAAGCCTACCCAAAGGAAATTAATCTTGGGGCTTGGAGGATTTGGCTGCAATTTGCATCTCTAGCCAAGGGGTTGTGGGGGGTAGGTGCTGAGGGTCTTGGGGTCACAGACTGCACAGCTGGTCTGGGACTTGGAGTGGCTACAGCCTTCTGCTGCCCCGTGTTGCCCCCCGCACTGTTCACAAACCGCCTGGCCCAGTTTCTATTTGTGTACCAGCCTGGCAAAGCGGGTTGCTTCCTGTCTCCCCGACTAAAGCCCACTCCAGGGGCCCAGGGAGTCTCTCACTGGCCCCCAGGCCCTGCTCCCATCACGGGAGGCTGAGAGCCAGGGGATTGGCTTTCTGGACCTTGGGAGCTACGGTAGGCAGGGGGTGACAGGAGTGTGATCCTGTCTGCACCAGCCTGTGCAGGGGACTCCAGGCTGGAAGATCTCCATTTTGAGGGGGGTGGGGGTCGGCCCTGGTCGGTTGGGGACAGAGCATCCACACTAGGAGCCAGGGGTAAGAGCCGTAGGGGAGCAGAGCCTGCCTTTATGGGGGGGGCAGCCAATAGGGGGCATGCAGTTGCTCCCCTCCCAGAGACCCCAAGTTCAGCATCCCCACCCCTGGCCGGACAGCCACGTGGTGGAGGGCTCTCCGCGGCGGGGGCGGGGGCGGTGGCATGCCCGCAGCGCCCACCGCCTGCCCTGTCTGCCCTACCTGCGCGCAGCGCCGCCGGAGCCGGCCGCCTGTCCCGCGCGCCCCGCGACGCCCCCGGCCACGGCGCTCGGCGGGCACTGCGGGCGGCGCGCACGGCGCAGGACGCGGCTTCCCTCCCCCTCGGCCGCCCCGCCCCCGCCCCCGCCCCGCCCCGCCCGCCCGAAGACCGAGAGGGTCCTCCCCGCCGGTGGGGTCGGGCCTGTTGGGACGCGCAGGGCAGCCGCCTCGGTCACAAGACCAACAGGCAGAGGCATCTGGGGGTTAGGATGGTCCAGGTCAGCCCAGCGAGACCCCCCCCGCCTCGGTTTCCTGCTCTGCACGGGAGGCCAGTTCATCGGACCTACCTTGGACGGTGCCGGCAAGGGCCAAGTGACAAGGACCAAGTGATGGTGAGTGACAGTGAGGGCCAAGTGAATGAGTGAGCGGGCACACAGGCGGGCAGAGCCCAGGCAGGTGCCCCGCCCACTCCTGCCACCTGGGGCCAGGCCCTGGCACCGCCCCCTCCCCCCTGCCCTCCTCCTCCGTGCTGGGCCTACCCCCGGGACTTGGCCTCACTCTGCACGATCCCTCAGCCCCTGCGGATGGGGGATGCAGGAATGGAAGTGTGGAGTCAGCTCTGGCAGTGGACAGTGGTCTCCTACAGTGGGGCTGGCACCGAAGACTTTCAGCCCTTAGACTGCACCCTAGCCGTCCATGCGCTGCCAGGCTCTAGCCATAGGCCAGGCGGAGAGTAACAGGGATGAGGCCAGGACACTGCATGCCCCTGGGGCCTTAGTAGTGCCCACTGATGGGCCTTGTGGGCGGCCCTGCCCTGGAGCTGAGCCACCCACAGGTGTGAGCCTCTGCCCCCCATTTCTAGGCCGGCGGCAGGCTGACTGGGTAGCTGCCCTGAGGGCTGGGGGTCCGTCCACTCTTCAGTTGGCCCTGGGCTGGGAATACCCAGACTTGTTCTGTGTAGGCCCAGGGGATGCGAGGCTGTGTCTGGCTCAGGGGTGCCCAAGCCCAGGCCGAGCAGCTTTGGGGGCTCTGGGGAGGGAGGGGGCGTTCCTCCCTCACTGCAGGCCTGTCCCCTCTCCTCTCTGCCTACTCCTCAGCCGGCCCCTGATGGGACCCAAGCAGACGCTCACTCTGCCCTCCATCCATCAGGGATGGGACCACACCCTGTTCTCAGAACTGATGCCCTGGCTGTGTCTGGCAGGTCCCGCTGCCCAGCGCTCCGGGGAGCTGTGCCCTTGGGGCCATTGGGTGACGCAGGTACCAGGCTGCATCCTGGGCAGGGGGCCCCCAGGCAGCAACAGCAGCCGCAGAAGCCAGCAGGGCCCAGCTTCTCAACCTCCACCCTCATAGAGACCTGCACTAGGCCTTTGGCAGGAGCTCTGGCAGCCTCCTCTGGGCTGGGGGCCTGTGAATGGTCCTGGTGTCCTCCCCTGGGAGGGAGGACGGGGTGCCCCCTGCCCCTTTGGGCTCCCGAGCCCTCCCTGATGCGATTCTGTGAAACGGGGTCAGCTGTGTGTCCCTGGCCCCTCTCACGCATCAACAAGATGATGCATCTGGAAGCACTTCTGGAATTAGGGCACATCAGGAAAATGAGGGATTATTTTTATTATGGATTTATGGGGGGTGGGGGAGCTTAGAGCCCAGGGCCCTGCCGTCCTCCTCAGGGCAGATGGCCGGCAGCCCTGAACACTCGTGGGACCCAGGGTGCTGCTCACACCAGGTGGGCAGCCCAGGGCAGGGCCTCACGTTGGCCCTCAGGCCTGGCTTAAGGTTTGGGCTGAGACCTGGGCCGGCCCGACCCTGCCACCCAGTCATGCCTTCTCTTCAGACTGTACAGGCAGAACTGGGCACCCAGGGCCAAGCTTTGGCCCAATGGCAACTGGAGAGTCCCCGGGGAGAGGGCCTGGTGTGGCCTGAGTCCGGTGTGACAAGGGTCTGCTCCCGGGCCCTGCTTTGTGGGTGCTGTTTGAACACTCCGCTGTGGCTGCAGGTGACGCCAGTGCAGACAACGGCAGGGGCACCTGAGCCCAGCTGGGTGGCAGTGCGCGTGGCAGGACGGTGGGAGCCAGGCCCGCAGGTGGGAGCTGTGGGGAGCACGGGGTCCCGCACATCTCTCACTGCTGTGCTCTTTCCAGTCTCTGGGCGCCGGCCACATCTGCTGCTTTGGGGATTCTCCAGGCTCAGACTTGGTCCCCATGCTGACTGCAGTCCCGAATAATGGAGGCCACAACTCTGTGTGGTGGGCCTGCTGGTGCACGCCTGCTCTCGAAGGAGGACCCATGATTCTTACCTTCCTGGGATGCTGGGATGCTGGACGGGGGTGGGGGGGGCAGTGACAGCTTGTCCTCCAGCTGACTGCCACCTTGCAGACACCCAGAGCGGGTCCAGAGGGACCAGACGGCGTGCTGAAATTAGCTCCAGTAACTGGGCTGCTGGTGAGACCCAACGTGTTCATCGTGGCCTAGAAACGGCCGCTCCGGGCCTCACTGCCGGGCTCCTGACACACGGGTGGACGGGCACTGTGGGCCGGGCTTCTGGGGATGTGGTGGGCACCACGAGCCTCTCTGGCAGGACCTCCCCCAGCAGTGCTGATTTTAGTGCTCTGGAAGAATAAAGAAATGGTGTGTGTGGGGGGTACCCTGATCCCTTCTGGGTGGGGGTCCCGAAGAGGGCTCAGGGAGGAGGGGGAGGAAAGGCCCCCATTAGACAGGGACCCGCAGTCTAGTGCCGTCCTTGACGCCACTCTGAACTGTGGGTTCTCCCCACTGGCAGAGGCCAGAGCTGGGGCTGGTGTGTGTCGCTGGCGACCCAGGGCTGCCCCCGGCTGCTGTCAGCCCCAGCTCCGGGTGGGGACATGGGCACACTGCGCTGCTCCTGAGACCGGACTCCTCAGAGGGCAAGACACAGCCTGGGGCAGATGACCAGCCTGTGCACAAGCACAATGAGGGCCGAGGCGAGACTGCAGCTCTGCTTCAGACTGATGGGGGTGGGGGGCAGGTGTCAGCCCCCCCCAACCCTCCCAGGGCCACAGACTCGTCCCAAGCTGGTGAAACCCGAGGATAAGCGGTCAGCGCTGCAGGGCCCGGGCTGGACTGTCAGTCAGCACGCAATCCCAGGCTTACGACAGGCCTGGTGACCACGGCCCCGGCTGCCCCACAGAAACTGCCCACTTGTTTCTGCCCCTGCAATGACTGGCAGAGGCAAATACCAGGACTGCAAAATCAGCAAAGAAATCTTTTATTTACGTTGTTAAACAGAGCTCATAAAAAAAAAGGGGGAGTGTTTTTACATAATCTTTGAAAGCTTGAGAACGGCTGTCAAAAATAACCGAAGCTCTCTTAGGCTGACGTGTGCAACAAATATAAGACACGACTCCAGGGAGGCCCGGGCGGGAGGGTGGCTCCTGCCTGCGAGACCTCACGATCAATGTCAGGGATGCCACTTTGGTTGACTTGGTTCTTTCCAGCAGCTCTGTGGCCAGTGAACACCAGGCCCCCCTCGGCAGCTGGCCCGGGGGCTCGAGGTCTCACGGAAGGCAAGAGACCCCTCAAGCAGCTCCTAACACCAACCAAAGGGACTTGTGGTTTCTAAGACAGACGAATCTGCGAAGGTACAGGCAGTCCCCATCTCGTGAAGGTCTGTGGGGGGGCTGCGAGAGACAGCAGGGTGCAGGTGAGACCCGCTGAGCCACTGGCTCAGAGACTCCTGTCTGCAGGCTCACCGTCCCCCTTTTCCACCAGCCCCAGCAGGCCCCTGGCTGCCTCCTCTCAGGTGGATGCTTCCTTTG